TTTTTTTTTAAATAAATTATCGTTAATCATTAATGGAGTGATGGATTATCCATCATTTACCCATTTTGAAATTTCTGCTAGCATAAATAAATATTGAAAAATGTTTAGAAACTGTTTTTTTTTTTTTGTTTTTATCAATATTATGTCAATAAGGTCACGTAAAAATTTTAAAACGAGATTTTTTTTTCAAAAAAAAGTTTCCTAATTAGAATAACAAATAACTGGCACATTTACATGATTTCTATTGTTTCATCTGTTAAAATATAAATATTTAGAATATACATTTACAACATTATTAACATTATTTATAAAGTTTTACTGCTTCTTCTATGTCCAGATAAATTTATTGTAACTATAAATAAGAAAAATAATATTATTTGTGATTCTTTCAGCGATTATAGCAGTTTTTCAAAAGTATATCTAGTTATACAACCAAAACCAATGGTCAGAAGATAAATCACTTGGAAAAGCCACAAATCTTTCGTATATCAGGCACTTTTTGCGATTTATACAGAAAACCAACACGACAAAAGAAAATATAATGGAAGTTAATTCAAACGAAAGAAAAATTAGAAAATTATATTATTATCGGTAAGGAATTTACAATCAAATATTTACTTGATTTATTGTCTTTTATATTATATTGACTTAAGATATTTTAAAGTATATTGCGATATAAACGCATTTAAATGAATACAATCTTTAGTTTTGCCAATCAACAGTACATTACAAACTAAAGAATTTTAGACTTGTTTAAATTTCTTTAATGTACCAAATACATCTTAGTCAAGTTTCCAGAAAGATAAATATTTTGATTATTAATAATCAAAGAGATAAAACAGTCTTCAATTATAATTAAAATAGCCACAAAATCTTTTAACTCGTCTTTCAATTAGCAAAATTGAATATATTCGAGATCAAAAGATCCAGTTTTAACAATAGACGACAAATCAGTTAAATATGTTTTGAAAAGATATGCAAATTTATCTGGAGACTCCTTCGATCATTCTAAACGTTTGACGAAATTCGTTTATACTGAATAAGATATCTTTAGAATATTTCATCCATAAAATTTGTTTTAAATTATAAACGCGCACATTTTTATTTTACATTTAATTGAAGCGATATGAATATATAGTAGCAACACTTAAAAATTTTCATATCTAATACAAATATATAAAAGTAAAAACCAGAGATAAGTATTTATACTCATTTTATCAAACTTAATTTATCATTACTTAATATGAATGAATATGTACTGTATCTAGCCAATTTTTCTGTTTACAAAATTCTATAGTTCGGAGCTATTTGTATAGCGACCATATACCACTTATTCCTAATTGAACTCTTTATTTTTATTGGGACAATAAATTTTACTTAACTCTTTCCACTAAGGAAGGATTCCTGCTTTAATGTTTATAACTGTGGTGGTCCTGTCGTGTACAAACCAGTCGGTGAGTGAAAGGGTGCAGAAGTTGTCTGTCCTCTTGCCAGTGATTTTAGCTTTTATCGTTTTCGTGTCAACCAACGGCGTAAAATTACTCGTTAAATTATCTTAATTTAGTTTCTATCCATCACAAAATGGCAGTTTCACATTATACTTATACTAATAGAATACCTAAACCTTTATTTTATTTTATCGTAATCAACTACGGTTGTTTTAAATAAATTTTTCAACTTTTAAAAAATATTTTTACTTTTATATGCTTAGTTAACTGTTTCTTTATAAAATTTTAAATTTAAAAAGAAATTATTGAGGTTACCAGACTAGAAAAGAAATCAATTTTCAAACGCCAACAAGATCTTATTCATCCATGTCAGAATTATCGCAGTATGTTGTTAATGACATCTGTTACGTTTTTCTATCTTGATAAAATATAATTTTAATTTTTGATAGGATACACCCATGATCTCAGGTCATTAGTTGGTAGCATATATCTAACTATAAACGCCCATTACTAGATTACGAGAGAACGAGGGTTGTTCATAAAAATTACAAATGTTAATTAATTTATGCCTTTTAACTAGACTTTTTTATACTTGTGTATATTTACTTAAAAACATTAGTAGATAAATAAATAAATAATATAGAGTAATAATTTATAGAAGTGCTAGCAATCAATTAAAAAGTGGTAGATGCTTTTAAAAATAAGTTCACTTTGTGCACTGTCATTACAAATTTGAAATTATTAATAAAAAAAAAGGAAAAAACTGCCAACTAATGTCCCCTATAATCTAGCAAATTTTTCTGAAAATTTTTGACCTGAAAATTTATCATGCTACACTGGACAATGTAACACGTAAATTAAATGAAAGAAAACGGCAGCCTGATCTCGAAATAACTCTATTATTCTCATTTTTAAATAGAACCAGGTCTTTTCCATTTTCGTACTAAAAGTTGCTTAGGGTGAAGCGGAGATAAGGTCAAAACCGTACGTCACCCACAAAAACTGGCGACGTGTCTGAACGATGGGGTTAGCAATACCTCAGGCACTTTATAACCCGAGTTACTTGAAAAACTTCAACCCTTGGCTAAAATTGAGCCATAAAAATAACAAACAGTTTAATTAAATCTTGGAAAAGACGAAAAGATAAGCTATCGAGTTAAATATATCGTAATTCTATTCTAAAATTATAGAAGCAATGAACAATATTAGATTTTTAAAACACACTAGAGAGATTTCGTAATTGAGAGTAGGGGAAACTGATGGCAACCTTCCAAGGACAATTGCATAGTTCGCAATAAGTTATCAATGATGAATACCAACTTTCTGGCTATTTGCTTTGGCGGCTAATACAAACGCCTTCTTGCCAGTCACATGATCTAAACAAACACAACAACACGTGATCAAATTATTTTTACGACTAAAACAGATATACACAATACTCACTTTCCATCCGGCGGAGCTATTACTGTCTCCTTTATCCTTGAAATAAGGAACATTTTGTACCATCCAATCATATATTTGTGACAACGTTAATCTCTGTTCCGGTGAACTCTGTATCGCTTGTGTTATAAGTTCAGCGTAAGACATATTACCCCAAGCGTTTCGACGAGACGAGTTTTTTTTAGGAGGTTGGCCACATTGATCAACTCCACTCGAATTATGATCTTGAACCATAGTCGATTTGTCATCGTCTTTATCGGCCACATTTTCTGGTCGGGGCAAAGGCCAAGTATTGGATCTGGCACGTGTCTGTGGTTCAAAATTCGGATCGATGTCTGACATATCCATATTTCGAACAGCGGCACACAAAAATCCTACAACAAACTACAGAAAGAGGAGAGAGATATGACGAGCGCCAGTCAATGCGCAGTCAGCAAGTAGTGGTAGAATGATCAACAGGTTATACTACTGTACGTAAAAAGGCGACACTATCAGACTTCAAATGGCCATTCTTCTAGTTCATATTGATCAAGTCAACTAATTACAGTACGCTGGACATCGCTGCTCGAAAATCGTATCATCTTCGAGAACTCGAAGCTCACACAAAAACGTGAAAAGCAAACACACTTGTTGAAATAACTAGTAACAATTCGTAAGAGTATACTGTAATAGGAAATGATAATACAGTCTGCTTCTAGCAGGAGTTTTCAAGTTTCCTCCGAATAGCAGTCAGAACGAACATCCTAACACCAGCGAGTCTGACTGTGTTCTGCCTCTCTCGCTTTCTGCTGGGCCTTCCCACGCAGCGTCGCTGACGTCAGTACAAACGTCATCGCTCTTCGTGACGATCTGATTGCTCGGTTTGTCCGCGAGATGGCGCTTTTCTCTTTGCTATCGGGAAAAACGCTGCTACTTAATGAACTTAATGATTGAATTTGTGGCCTTATGAATTCATTAATCGTATTTTCTTCTCAAGATTAACAGTAATAAAATATCACCGACCAAGTTTTCACTCTACATTTATTGAATTATAACTTTTTTAATACCATACGATAGCAAATATTAGTGCAACTTACATACGATTACAAGCCACAAATAGATTAGAAACTTATATTTAAGGCTTTATATAATTTTTAAGCATGTTTTTACAAAAAAATCTGTTTAAAATATTCATTTCATTATGTGTATAGTCATTTGAATAATGACATTTTTACACTTTATATCGAACATTTATGCAAGTCGTAAAATGCATTAACGCCTTTACTTCGCTAGGATTTCTTTATTATAAAAGATACAAGATTATTTTACGTTCATATACATATAAAAAAGCTGTATTTATGTAGTATAACGTTCAATTTGAATCGCCAATAAACGATGAATCAAATAAATAACTTATCATTATAAACCGTTGTATAAAATACTCGATTATAAAGTATCTGAAAGAATAGATAAAACTAGATACACGATATTTGAGCGCATTGTAATTTGTTAAAATAATAATTATATACTAGAAAATTTCCAATAATTGCTAATAAAGTAATAGTATAATAAATTATATTATAATTACATATTTAACAATAATGGGAGAGTATTATTATATACAGTTTAATGATGATTTATGTCTCGATTAAAAGAATACCGTATTCAAAAGTCCAGAAGGTTTTAAGAGGAATGCCCGATAATAGTTTCTATAGCCTACACTCTTGACTCACAAGTTTCTGACTAAATAGTTATGAGTAAATACAGTAGTTTTGATATTTTGAACTGATAAACTATTAATAAAATAAGATAAAAGTTTATTAATGAAATAAGATTATACTGGATTAAATTAAGTATCGAAAATAACTTTTTATTCCTTGTTTTTTTAAACATTATTAAGCTTACTTCTTTTGAAATAATTTTATCTTATTCATCTTTTTAATAATTTCAATTAATTAAATTCTATAAAACAAAATTTCATTTTTCTTGGAGCAACAGTTGATGCGGTTTAATTGGCTTAAGAAATATTAAAGATTTTTGATAAAATTTCTCTACAATGATTTTATTGAGATTATGGATATAATGTACTGTAGATCTAATTAATTTTTTCATCTCACAAATTAAACGATAATCATATATGCGTACAGAATATGATCACAGATTAAAGAGTCTTGACAAGAGAAGACAAAGGTTAAACTTCGTTTTGATAGTAAAATATCACATTTTTTTATTTAGTTCAACGCTTGGGAATTTTATCAGAAAACTTCAATACAATTTCAACGGGAATAAGTTTACATATGTACTGCAACTTAAGCCGATGGCTTATTGAAGCATAGAATAGGGAGACCGGTTTGGTCGAATTTCTAAATTTAAACAAGGAAGACCACCTCTTGTTCTGTTATAAAAGACTTAAATCCCCAAACAAGTTCAATTGTAAGAAAATATTAAACAATGTAAATGATAATATTTAAAAAAATAAATAATTGTTATAGTTAGATTCTTTATACTAGGTTTATGTTTTATAAACATAGTAATAAGCGATTGAACAATTGAGCAACACTAAATTTGAGAGCTTTATTTCGATTTCAGCAAGAAAAGAATTAAATTAGCAAAAAGTAAGGATAATACAGCATTTAAGCAGCTGAATCTTTATTTATAATAAAATAACATTTAAAAAATATAGGCCGGTGATTAGACTTATGCAATATTATTACGAATCCAGACAATGAAAAAATAGTCTATACACAGTAATTGCGATCTTAAATCAAATGACGTAAATAAAAATCATTATTCGATTATTAAACAGAATAAGTTTAGACATCATCAACAAGTATTTTATATCCAACACTTGGAAATTAAGAAACTGTAAAGTATTCATTTTAGACAAGTTTTCCGAGACTTTTTCCACTCAAATATAAAAGTAATCACAATTCAAACGAATCGAAATTGAATATTCTTCTAGAAAATATAATTCTATAAAAGAAGTCAGCTTATTTAATACAATAACATTGTAATCTATTAAGGGAAATAGCTAATCCAATGCTATTACTTCAGACAATGATATTGTATCAACTCGTATACAGTATTGCAAAAACTTTTGAAGGAAACGTATATATTTGTTAGATTGCATGATAAAGTTGCATTAGACTGTCTGGAATTTAAGTTGTCTGCTACTAAAGGAAATGGTCGACTATTCAGAGAAGAGTCACAGATCTAGTTAATTAATGAAATTTATTTTTATTTCTTATTTTTAAAAATTGGTGTGGTAATAAACGTTGAGATGAACTACAGTATCCAGTTTTTATCATAGAATACAAACAAGTCCATTAGGAGTACAATAAGAATTACATAGGTGCGCCTTTATTTATGTTGATTTTATTTGTTAAGGGCATTTCTTATTTTGTAATCTTGCTTAACCATCTCTAAATTATCCAATATAATAAAAAGTACAAAAAAATTGGCATGTCAAAAACTTTTGATTAATAATATTATTTAAACACGAAGAACATTAAAGTATAAAACTGTAGTCGAAGTATTTTAACAGTGTGAAAGCATCAAATCTTTTACAAGTGAAAGTCATAGACTCATATAATCAATAGATAAATATTACACTTAAGTTACTTTGTACTAACGGGTCTGAATTTGTTAGATTGTTTAATGATTAAAAATGATTATTGACTAATCAATTAAATAATAAGAAATAATCAATCTCTAATCTTATTAAGCAGTTTTGGAGACGAAAATAAATTCATTTTAAACAACTTTTAAAACCATAATATTTAATATAAATCTCCTTGAAGATAAAATATCAATTGATTATCAGAAAATAAATTTATATTATTATTTTTTATGTTTTCTAATCACAAAGTAAAAAGTTTATATATCTAACATTCAACTATTTTGTGACTTAAACTGCAAATTTATAAAAACTGAATACTTAAATTTTGTTTCATTTCCAGATAATAATTAAATAATCCATAAAAAGTTCTATTGGTTACAATAATAGCAAGTTGTTTTCCTTTCAGAAAATCAATTAAATTTTGAAATTCAAATAAAATATTACCAGATATATTGCATGATGTTGTACATATTTCCCAAAACAACATCTGTAATGAAATCACAATTTGATAATTAATACCAAGCAAACTCGCGAAATTTTTTCGAAAATTTAATATGTTAAAAATGATTCAGAAGATACAGAAATTTCGTATTATATTTTAAAATATTTCTTTGGAAATTAAAGCTAAATCTAAAGGATAATCTTACATGTAATCAATAGATGAAATGTCACATCTTTTGTTTTATTTATTTTTAATATTTTAATATTTAGATCTTTGACCGTATATGTTTATTTATAATTTTTTGGCACTCGAGTGAAATCATTTTAATTTTATATAGAGCATAAATATAAATTTATAAACAAAAATTTGATTTTGTCATAACTTAAGTTTATAAAATACATTGTCAAATAAACATTATCGAATTTTATAAATTTCACGCTTATCATACATGAGCAGAAGATTAATTTACTTCTTAGTTTATCATCGTAATGGGTCAACATTTTATTATCTTAAATCGATAAATAACCTCGAGTTTGCATATTTGAAACGGAAAAAAAAAAAATGGTCGCTTTCCAACGCTTTTCACCAACTAGCGCCATCTTCTGCTGGAAAATAGAATTTATATTTGTTTTATTTATGTATTTAAATAATTACGAATTTGACGAAATAAATTTGGTTATTTGTTAAAAGTAAATATTAAATAGATTAAAAAACATATAAATATTTCAAAAATTTAATAACATTACGCCGTTAATTCTTCTAAATATGGTGATGTAATGATAAATATTTGGAAACAAATTATTTTGCGGTATACATACGTATACTACAATCGAACTTGTGATAACGGCCATCTCCCAACAACGGCCACTTTTTCAGAAGCATATATGGTTTTTTCCCTTTTTTTGGGAATAAAAATACGTACAAAATAAACTCCAAATAACGGCCTAATATTATTATGTTCATAGGTTTGACTATACATACTTAAAAACTAATTATTCTTATTAAATTGATATGACTAATAATCAAGCTGATTACTAATGACAAGAATCCCTTATTACCAAAAATTTTTAGTCATCAAAGACTTATTTATTATTATTATTTTCCTAAAAATATATGTAAAAGAACTTAATTTATAAATATGTTTATAAATTATAGTAAAAAAATTTTTCCTTAAAAATATATTGTTTTAAGTAATAAGAGCTTCTAAAGATATATGTTTTCTTTAGTTTTTAAAATGAAATTATAGAAACGTATGATTTTCTTATACAATTGCTGTACTATAAAGAGATATAAAAAAAAAAGGAAAAAATTTTGCATAAATTATAAATTTATCAGATTTATATTATTAAAAAAAAAGAGAGAGAGAAAAAAAACTTTGTAGAGTTTTTACTACCTATTCAATTTAGAATAATTTATCAGGTAAAAAAAAAGTTTACATAGCATTTTATATTATGAAAATTCAATAAAGGTTGATTTTTTTACTTTTAAATTTTTTACATTAAAATCAATAATTTTGCCTTGCTATGATAAATAAGAAAAAGGATGATTTTAGATTGAATGTCAGAAACGAGAAATTGCAATTTTGAATCAGTAACTAAGAATGCTTTTTTTATTTTTACTTGTGTGATTTTTTGTGTGTGAAATTGGAGAATTTAAGAAATGTTCAATTGTAAAAGAATTCCATGTGATTAAACGTGCAAACGAATATTACACGAAAAAGAATTTAATAATTTTTTTTTTATTTCAATT